CCCCAAAACCCCAAAACCCCAAAACCCCAAAACCCCAAAACCCCTTTGTTACTTTGCGAGGTTGAAATAGTGGCTAATAATATATTATCAAAAACATTTTCAAAAATGATGGGTAATCGATTTGCTCCGTATGGAATTAAGGAGCCTCAAAAAGAAGTTCCTGTAGTTAAGATAGAGAAGACTGGCAAGAAAGAAGTGAGTCTGAAGCATTTTATAACAGGAGCAATTGCTGGGGCAGTTTCCAGAACTACAACATGCCCTTTGGAGAGGTTGAAAATACTGCGTCAAACTTCAGTTAAAAGCTATTCTAAGCTTTCTCTGGATCAGGCAATGATGAAAATATACAGAAATGAAGGAATTATAGGGTTTTATAAAGGAAATGGAGTAAATATTTTCCGTGCTTCCCCATGAGCTGCCCTCGAATTCCTTTTCTACGAAATTTATAAAAGTCTTCTGATTAAGCCGGAAGATGTTGGTACTTTCCAATCTAAGCTAGTTTGTGGAGCACTTACTGGAGTCACTGCGAACACCATCACATACCCATTGGATTTGGTGAAGACTATTCTCTCAGTACAGTTAAATCCGAGGCATTACAAGAAAGGAATCATCGGCCATCTTAAAATTATCTATAGGAAAGAAGGAATTTTAGGATTTTATAAAGGATGGGTGACTACCATGATAGGAATAGCACCATACATTGCGATAAAAATGGCTACTTTTGATGTCCTTAAGACACGCTTCTGCCCAGACAAGAATACTCCACATTTTGATATTATTAATTTAGCTTGCGGCGCTGCTGCAGGAATGATTTCAATGAGTGTAACCTATCCTCTTGATCTAGTTAAAAGAAGAATTCAATTAGCAGGAATTAACAAACATGCTAGATCTTATGATGGCCTTTTTCACTGCCTAGTCTCTATGTTGATGTACGAAGGTCCAAGAAGCTTTTGGAAAGGTCTGAATCCCTGCATCTTAAAAATGATTCCAGCAACAGCCATTTTATTTGCTACTAACGAAAGACTTAAAAAGTGGCTTAATGTTGAATAATTCAAGCAGAGAAATCTCAAAAATGATATTTTCTCAAAGTTTATTCCGAGTGAATTATTCTGCATTCGATAATCACTTTCTGCATAATACCTTCAAGGAAACTTATAATTCAATTTTACATTACTCCTTGGGGTTTTGGGGTTTTGGGGTTTTGGGGTTTTGGGGTTTTGGGG